AAGAAAAACCGCATGCAGGGGTGTTGGTACACTGGAAAGAAAGAATGGTTAAAGATAAATATAGGGGACAAATGTCAATATACCCGTTGGGGAATGGGGGGGTGGAGAGAGAGAGTGGGGGGCTTTATAGAGAGGAGGGGGTTGTGGGGGTGGCCTGAGTACGAAATTAAAGAGTTAAAAAGTTAATACGCTCTCTTTCAATTTCTGGAACAGTGACAATTAACCTACCGGCTACCAATTACAGCGCTTACTTACGGACTAATAATGAGCTCATTCATACTACTCTTGCCTAAGTGGCTAAGTACTACTAACTACTACTACTAAGTACTCCCTCGCTCACTCACTTGAGGATTGAAAATGAGAGACCCACCCCCAGCCCGAGAGAGAGAGAGAAGCTGAAAAGTACAAACAACGAGGCCGAGGAGGGAAGAAGAAGAAGAAGACGACGACGGGGTTTGGAGGGTGGGACCTACGCAAGCAATGGGTCATGACGTTGAACAGTAATATATGTGGGCTCCATAATGGTTGGTACCCAATGCCTTAAAAATAAATTTTGAAAATGTCTGCCCATCTCGAATCTCTTTGTTTTTCTTTTTATACTGCGCTCTTTTTTTTTTTGGTTTCAACTGGTGGCATCGGCAGCACAAATTTGAGGAATTTTTTGTCGCTGGAAACCAAAGGGTTCAATTGACGACGAAGTGTAAAAAGTGATTCACATGAAGACGACGTCTGAATGAAAAAGTATGATCCGATTAAAAGGACAAGAAACTACTAACTGTGTCAAAAATCAACATGTTGTTGTCTCGAGTCTTGACAAGTTAAATACTACTAGTAAATACCACCACTGGTACTATAAAATCACTGCTTATTATAATACTAAGATATAAAAGTTGGTTTTTTTTTGGGTGAGGTGAAGTCCTTCTATTATATTATTTGAATTTATAATGGGGAACAAAAGAATTACCGGTACCAGATAAAGGCCGTCCGTCACCAAAAGGAAGAGGCCCGCCGTTGTTGGACTTGGAGCAGGTCTCGTAGAATGGTGGTATCTTTCAAATCCCATTCATGTTTGTATCCGTTGGAGGGATCCTGCTCCTACGTCGTAATCCTGCCACTTAGCACTTTGTCCCGTTGTTCGTTATGGATTGGTGGTAGAGTAAATACTCGTACTTAGCAGTAGTCGCAAGTAATTGGCCGCTGGGTGTGAACGTGATTCTCATTTGTCTTCCAACTCTTCTTGAATTCATTCATTATTGATGATTAGGAAATTGTAGCCGGAGAGCTCCGCTCAGTCCTCTCCTCCTTGCCTTGGGTGCTAGGGTCGTCTGCTCCAAATCCCAAGAGCTGAAAGACGGACCCGACCGCCCTTGTGAGCAACTGACGACACGAATGACCGAAAAAAGCAACGAGATGACGCGAAAGCGCATCTATCCAATATATATAAAAAAAAAAAAAAACATGTTAATAGCTCCATATCAATTATTTTGTTATATTTTGAAATTTTTATTTTTTTTCGTACTACTTTTTTGAACTTTATTCTCACAAATTCAAAATTTAAATTTGAATGATAATATATATATATATTTATGATTAAAAAAATTAAAAAAAGTGATTTAACTTTCTCAACATAACAAACATATTAACACGTCCGACAATGAAAAGTACAATAATGCTTTCAACCAATGAGACAGAAGGATTACTATTTTTGTACATCTTCCTTTGAATGTAATTCATGACAACCCTTTTGTCCTTTTCTTTTTTTACATACTAGCAATAATTGACCTTATCTCGTTCTCAATCCATATAACAAGCCACGCCATCTAGTTGTATAAATTAGCCGACTGTGAATAATTACTCTTCTGTGATGTATTTAGCCGACTGTGAAAAGAAAAGATAATTAAAAATACATTTCCGGTCTATCTACCGCTTCGGTAATTTGGTGGGATGAAATGGAGAAACAGGTGCGAAGAAGTTTCTTTGACACAAGGCCTCCGACTCCGAGAGAGGTTTTGTGGCTCACGGCATTTAATTGTCTGAAATTTCCAACCAAGTTGTGAGTGAGTATAGCAGAGGCCAATTTTCGGTGCAAAAGCGGGGTGTCAGTAGCGTCCGCCTGCAGGCCAGGCCTCCTCAAATTTGCCAGAAAAAGAAGACGGACGACCTCTCCTTCTTGTTTATGTCTTGGCACGTACTACAATGTTGTACATCAGGCCCCTTCTGCTGCTCCGCTTAAAAATCCCCTACTATTAGACCTACTGCACACATCCTCCTGAAGCTCTGGAAAACTACACAACTTATTTCCCTGTAAGGATGCTGTTGTGTCAATACTCCGATTTATTACCGACCGATGGCAACGTACCAATCCCAATCAAACAATAAGGCCCCCCAGACCCAGTTGGAGTTATGAACTGTGACACGACATTGGGATCTTAAATTTTGTTTGACAATTAATTCGTGAAAAGTTCTCGTACAAGCAGCATAATAATCTTTTTTTTTTTTTTTTTGCATTGCTAGTAATTTTGAAGCTTTTATTAAAATATATATATATATATATATATATATATATATATATATATATATATTAGCAATTTAATGTATGGAAAATGAATGAAAACGTGATTGATATAGGCGTTTATAAAAAAAACGTAAAATATTAACAATACTTTGGCTTAGACAATGGGAAGTAACAAGTACACTGCTGCTAAACAGCACTCAATTTGTTTTTCAAAATTCAGAACTAATTCAGCAATTCTTATACCACAATAAATAGTTATCCAAAAACAAAATATCCTTTGGGCTGATGGTCACCATCAATGCATTAAAACTTGTTGGGGTGGGAGACAAGGTCATCAATTTGCCACACTATAGCGGCTCTGTTTAAAAAATTCAGGCGGGTGCATTGAGCACTCATCTGATCCGGTAGGTGGTTTAATCCCCTTCGAGTTACCTTTAAACTTCTTCAGATCCTCCCCTCCCTCCTTAGTATAGGATAATCTTCCTCCTTTAAATTTTACTCCTTGAGTTTTTGGCCCAAGGCATACTCCCGAGAATCGATTGCCCATGAATTTGTAACACACATCAAGCTTCCTAGACCCTTAGAAAACTAATTATGCCGTGTCTCATTTGCTTGAGAGAATGCCATAATCTGTTTTAAGATATACTCATATATGCATAATATAATTGTTGAAAGTCATTTTTATTGGGGATACATGCATTGCAGTATAAGGCTCATAAATCAATTCGCAATCTTGTGCCACCTACTTGCCATCCATCTTACGATAAATGATCTTACCAGCCCACAACATATTGTTTCGTGCCATTTACACAAATATAAACTTCTAAATGACATTAGTATTATTGTACAATTGTTTTGCTCTTTCAGATGGGCTTTGGAAGTGGTCCAATATCTCCCAAGAATTTGTTTGCGTGTCAACAAAATCACAATCTGGATTCTGGAGGGTGTTTACTCAGCCCACATATACGCACTTGGCCCGCATGAATTCTGGCGGCATATTTTGCAGCTCTCTAGAAGCGTTGGTACTTGCTGCTACTAGTGCTCTCTATCAGGTGTCAGATTAATGTTAATCGGATTGATCAACCAAACACCCTCTCCCGTTTGTTCCCTTTTGGAGGATTTTTCTCTAGTCATTAGTCAAGAATTCTGTTCTAAACATGTTTGACTGATCACTGCAATAAAGAGCAAGTTCATTTTCCTAAGATTGCTGATTTCAAAGAGGTTTTTTTTTTTAAAAAAAAAAAAAAATTTATTCAATCAGCTGCTAGAAGAAGGCTCGACACGATGAGAAAATATAAAACCACCAGAGTACCTGAAGAGAAGGGGGAAAGAAAAATATTTAACCCCAGCCACCAACTGCAGCATAAAGAATTTAATTTATGATGAAATGAAACTATGCTCTCTAATGGAGTGGGATTCAAGAAAGCAGTAGTTTGCAAGTGTGTTTGTTCACCTAATGTGATATAGTAACTAGAAGGAATTATATATAATAGTATAAATGAAGCCAGGCCTAAATGGAGCTACGGAAATTTTGATTAAGGTCAACGCCAGTTGCTCAGGACTGGCAAGTTGTTGGTCAGATTGTAATCAACCCGTGCGTGCTGATCTGTTTCGATTTTTTGCATTTTTTTCTTTAAAAAGATGCAGAATTTGAAGAATGGTTTCGTTGCATGTTTTTTTTTTTCAACAACTGCACATCTCTGCTAAATGACCCGCAACAATATTGGGTTATTTCCCCAAATATATTTGCTTACATTACCATTACAATTTTCAATACAGCTTTTTATTTTTTCAATTATCTTTTTATCTCACATACATCACATCACAAAAAATACTACAGTAAAAATATCTCAAATAATTTACATTCCAAACAAACTATAATTTGAACTTCACATCTTTAATAAAGAAAATAAAGAAAGGAGAACTTAAATATTAGTATCTTATGTAATTAAACGACCCGTGGTTCCATAATTCTTGCATAAGCAATAACACGTTACCTCCAGAAAAGAAAACGAGTTTAAGTTCATCTCACTTGAAAATTTTTTTGTAAAGAAAATTTTGAGATTTAACTTATCCAACCCTCGACGATTAAAGGGATAAGTAATTACAATTTCAGTATGTAATAGATTAAACCATTAATCCAACAAAAAAGAAATGTATCTAACCTCTCCTACAGATATACCAGGAAAGTAAACTGGGTTTGCGACATTAGCGCGATAGTACAAAACAGTGTAGTAATTAGTAGCAGATAACGAGGACAAAGGAGTCATTTCGAATCCACAATTCTTGGTTAGCATATAAGCTAATTAAGTGGAGAAAAATTTTATTAAAAAAATTTAAAAGGAAAGGAAAGGAAAGAAAAAGAAAAGAAATTCAAAGCTACACTATTGACAGTAGTTTTCCCCGCGTTATAAGCAGAAACTGACGAGAACGGAAACTCCATGGTTGCTTTTTTCTCCCTTAGAATTTGAGAATTCCCCGAAGGATGGAGGCGTCTAAGAGTAGTTACGATGGCATCAACGAAGCTTATCGCCCAATCCCTTCTCTTAACTTGGCTTTTATGTTGGTTTGGCTCCTCTCTGCAGCTTGTTGGACCGTCAACACTTACAAAAACCGCCATTTTCAGGTCTCTCGTCACTACTCAAATCTTGGCATCCCACCTCAATCTCGGCCTCACTGCTTCTTTGATTTTGAAATGTCAATATATATTCATGAGCCCAATTTCCAAATGGGTTCTTTTATTTGATCCCTGTAATTTAACGATTAACCTCAGTATCTTATTTTCACATTTTCTTCCTGTTTTGCCTGCAAGTGTGGTTTCAAGAATAGACCTTTTCTCTTTTTTTTTTTAGCAGAAAATTTTGTTCTAAATGTATTTTAAGTTTGAAGGACTAATTTGTGAATTTTGCGGTGATTGTTGCTGTCACTAGAACAGACGAATAAATTGCAATGGACACTGACCGCTGTTCCATTAATTAAAGCTTTGCAGCTGACCTTATCTTTTCTCTTCTGGTAAGTCTTTCTTTGTTGGAAGTATCATGAATTATTAGTCGCGGTGCCTAGTTGTTGATTGTTTTCATCACTAATTTCTGAAATTTGTGCAAGTTTAGCAACTAGTTAATGTGAAGGGCAGGCCCATATTTTTCTCCAGTGCCTGTTATGATTTAGGTCTCTTTTGTACTCCCAGACTCGTATTAGTATGTTTGGTTTAATGGTTAGAAGATATACTAAGAGCTCATGTTCCCATTAAAGAAAAAAAGAAGTTTGGGTAAACACATATGAGCAGAAATTTGGAACTGAAATCTGGACTTGATGCTAAAAGGGGACAACTTATGTTGCTTCTATATATTGATTACTTTCCTTGCAGAGGTGCGTTCTTTGATCTTGTGTTTTTCCTGCAGGTATTCGTGCTTTTATCTTCAAGTATGCTCTTTATGGATGTCTTTTGGTGTCTTTGTAACTGGAGTGCTCTTTCAGACTGTAACTTTTGTGTTGTTCCTCCTGATTTCTCATGGATATTGCATCACATATGAGCGTCTTTCCATTATCGAGCGGAGAACAACAGCTGCTCTTGGGTGTGTCTTTTACTTGACTCTTGTTGGTTATCGAGCATCCGTACCTTACTTCTCAGTGAGTGTTCCTTTACAAATTTTTGGCCAAAATGCAGCTGAACTAGTGTCGTGGAGCCTTTTCTTTACAGATTAATTTCTCTAATCTATAGAATTAAGAAACTGATTCAGCTTAGTTTCCGTGAAACAGGCTCTTATGCTGCTAAACTATTTCGTGTCCTTCTATATGATATTCCGCCACATATCCCAGAACTTGTTGTTACTACGGGAACAGTTGACAATCATTGAAGATGAGGAAGTTCATGCAATGCATGACGCAATCTGTACAAAATACATCATGTTCAAGTATGCATTACTTTATGTAGTACATTGTGCTTTTCTGCATAAATCTCATATCCCATTTGTCCCTGGGCAAAAGTTTAGAACTAAAGTAGTTGATAAAGTCTCGTGTGTTTGAACTGTCCAGGAAATTTCAAGGTGCAATGCACATTGTGGCAATGGCAGAATTGGCAGTAAGTATATTCTGCTTCTACCTTAGTTCTGCAGTAGTCAGAATGTAAAATGCAGATCTCTGTACTAAGCAAGCATTTTTCTTGTCAGATATTTTTTAACATAAACGATTCATTGGACAACTATTGGCTCCGGTTGGTGGTTAGAGAATGGGCACAGTTCTGCATTATCCTTTACATCGGGTTTGTAAGATAATGTGTTGATTATTTAGGTGGAATGCATTAAGTTTTCAACCCTACCACTTTGATTAATTATACTCAATTTTTGTTGCAGATGGACTTTTAGGTCAAAAGACTTGGCACCACGTTTCTCAGTTATGCCTACTTTAAAGAGCACAGGGATGAAAATGGTGCCTCCGATATACAGCATTGTAAGTTTTATGCAGAAGTCTAAGCATTCTGTGAAATCACCCACCCAGATGCATGCAAGATATGTATCTCGCCATCTAGTGAGTGGTAAATATGGAAGAAAAACAGAAAGGAAGAGATAAACTGGTTACATTGGACCAACAGAGAGATAAACGGTAAAATTCCAAAATAATGACGTCAAAATAGTGAGATAAAAATGGTGAAATTTCCAATTCTGCATCTGTTTTAGCATGACATGGCAGTTTAGTTGCATACCTTGGGAACATTTCAGTTATGTTTATCTCGTTAAGTTTTGCTTGATCTATGGAGTAAGCTAGTAACTATATGTCCTTCCAGAATTTGGTAGAACATGGTTTTCAAAAATTCTTTTTGTATTTTGATGCAGGAAATGGATGCAACAACCTTCAAAGAGTTTAAGAGTCATGAGTGGCATATTGGTGTGGTAAGTTAGGGTTGTTGAAGCTGAAAGCTCCAAGTTACTTTGAAATGCACTTTCTTGTGAACTTCAACCTTGACCTTCATTCTTTTAAGTACAAGTGGAATGTTTCCCTACTCTCCAATAGGTTAGTCTCAGAATATGTCAATCCGTTTTTAAATTTTAAAATCTTAGTTTAGACTATTAGCCAATGCACTCGTGGATTCTTGAAAAACTAGAATGAGGGAAAGGAAGGAAGATATAGTAATTGTTGTCTCACTTTGTTAGCCTGACTTTAGTAATAATTCTACAACCAATTAACTCATCTTCTTCTTAAACATGTAGTCTCATCATCAAGGTAAGAACTGGTTGGAATGAGGGTTATTTTTCTTTTTCTTTTCCACACTAAAAAACCTTGAATTGCTTCCTTATCACTGCCTACCATTTAGTAGTTTGCTCTCGGGGTGCATTTCTTGATCTCATGATTTCATTGCTATGGTATTGAACGCTATGGTTTGTACTTGCAGCCCACTTCTCTGCAGAAAGGACGCTTAGAGGGTTCAGTCTTAGTTGTGATTCAGCATCCCCGTGCAGATACAATGACCTCAATCAGCCCTGCCTCGCTCTGCACCACTCAAGTTCATGCCTCTAACCTGCCTGTAAACCAAAGAAACTTCAACAATCAACTTGTATAGCTGTAGGTATTCACAAATATTATTATTTTCATGATAACACATTTTCTGAAAGAAAGGTTCCCGTATGTCATACCAGTTCGTCTATTGTTATATGGACTTGAAACTAGAGCATCTCTGATGCAAACAGATTCGTCATTTTGTAACATGTTGGGCAGAAATGTGCAGCCTAATCAATATGTAAATGGAACATGTTAGGTATTTTCTTATGTGGTATCTCCCTCCCAGGTTACAAGAAGTAGTGTCACATAAATCAATTAATCTATTCTAGCCAAACAAAAAAAAGTGATTGAATGTAAGTCAGACTGTTTGTTGCATTCAATTTTTTCGTGAGAGTGGTCCAATACAAAACCGACCCAAATAGTAGCAGTGACTTTGCCATGGCGCAAGCCGATAATTGGACCTTCGAACCATCTTTCGTCGAAGACTTGCTCCTGTAAACTTTACAAAACCGAGTAAAGCTCCAAATGGTGGTGATATTTGGAAAGAGCTATTAAACAACGAAATTTTTGGGAATATATATATATATATACTAGGGGGAAGTACCCGCACATCATGCGGGTGTTTGATGCCTGTAACTAAAGAGAATTTTTTAGTAGTTGAAATGAATATTATTTCCATATTGACCAAGTTATTTTTTATCAAGAACCTATCGGTACATATCATCAATATTTTTGCCAGGTGAGCAAGTGATTGAAAATAAGAGTAAAATAATAATGCATATTAAGTAATATTAACAAAATTGTTGTAGATAATAATACATATTAGCCGAATCCTACTTAATATAATGCATGGATAATGGAGTAGTTTAGAGGGCATTAGCCTAATCCTGAAAGCCGAAAAGGGGAAAACGGAAGAATGTGAAAGAGGAGGCATCGGAACAACCATAACCGATATTTAGACATTAAATCATCAACATACCTATGTTTTTTGCTGTTTTAATTGAGATGTAAATAGTGATATATTGCTAGTGTGGAAGCTATTTCAAAGTTATGGGATTCAAACATGAGAACTCATGCATTGGTATTATTATGAGTTGTTTGAATGAATAGCTGCAGCATCTCTTTATTTTAATTGCACTATGACACCATTTCAATAATTACACCAACACATATGCTCATATAAGTTGTACCCAATGCACTAACGATTGCAAAATAATCCCTCATTCCAAAAATACCTAGATGTCCTTATATTATATAAGAATGAGTTTTGGTCAATTTTGTCAAATGCTACTATATGATAACATCCAACAATCATTTCATTTGGTGCAATAGCTAATAAATTAAGTAGGCAAAGATTTTACAAATTCTTAGAAATTGAAGTTATTAACTTGTATAAATTAAGATCCTTTTTAAACTACTTTGGGAGTTTTGTTTTTGTTAAAATTGTAATAAAGTATTTACAAGGATCTTCAAATGATAAGAATATGTTTGTCCATATAATTTTTTGGTAGTACTAAATTTGCTATAGTTTCAGTCAATTGGTGATAAAACAACTCCAACTTCAATCGAATTTTGGAACTATTTATGTGGCATAATTTGTGGTGCAATACTGATAAAGTATGTATCTAAATTTAGGTTGAATTCTAATGTTTTGTTAAGGAAGTTAGGAATGAAAGCTTTAACGAATTCTATTCAACCACTATAGACTACTCGATTACTATAAGTTTAGCAGAATATAAGAGAAAATAAACATATTATCAAACATAAGATTAAGACAAGCTATAAGTTTTATAGCAGCAGATCAAACTACCAAAATCAATTATCACATGATCGTATAAATGAATCAACTTTATCACCATAGCAAATCAGCAGTACAAAGGTCAAACTACCACCAAATGGATCAAATATTCCTAGAAATCGGACAATCATATATATAACAAAATACATAAATGAACGAACTTTATCACCAAACCAAATCAGTATCACTAAATACGCACTAACACCAAAATCAATTCCAGAACTAACGACATGTGTATCAAAAGAATTTAAAAGATTCAGCAGAAAGGATAAACTTTTGGTTATCTTATGCCAAATGTTCCCTGCAAAACTTTTCCTCACACACATGAGGCTGACATTGTTAATGCATTAGTATTACCTGATTAAATATATTAACATGTGCACAAAAAGCAGTTATATATGTATCATAGGTTATTTGCAAATTATGACAAATTTCAATGTAAAAAATACAGTTTCAACATACCTTGGCTTGGAGATTCTGATTAGGAGATGTAACACACTTCCAATGAATCGTGTTCCTACCACAAATACAAGTAAAGCAAAAAAAAATTTCAAAAAGCTAAGTCAATTGATTGTTATGATTTGTCTTCAAATGGATGAAAGATGGTTCCAGACAACAATACCTTTATTGAGCAAACCTAAAAACTAAGAAAAGGGGATGAACTGATGGCCAACACTTGATGCTATAAGTTTTTTAATAATTAGCATTAATTTTGTCTTAATCATCCTGGTTCTAGAATGGTTGGGAGTGGTAAAGATAGCTAAAAAGACAATCTTTTAACTTAGACCTTAAACCAAAATACATGAAATTGAAGCAGCAGAATTTGAATAGTAACACCTATCTAGCCAACTTCGTGCCATTATGTGAGGACTTGCAAATTCCTTGTATTTTTCCTCAAAAATACCCTTTTATTTGAAAATTAGTATTTACCAAAGGCCACTACCCAAATATTTCACATTAAGTGTAGATAAACCTAGAAAATAGGGTTTTACGCTTCGGTTTCAAGTTTGGAGCAAAATTAGGGTTTTCGCGATTTTTCGCCGGATGAATTTTCGGTACAGAGTAAGGATTAAATTTGAGGATTAAAAGTGACTTTTAAGTGAGAAATAATATGTGATTGGTAGCAATGATATAAGGTTAGTGAATGGGAAGTAAAAACCCTAGTACGTGAGTTTTTAAGAAAAACGGCGCGAACCGGCGCGAACCGGCGGGTCCCGCGCACTACCGTTTGAACGCACCACTTGACCACCATTTTTGCTTACCAAACAAATTTATTGAACTTGAGCAAAATATCTTCTCCCTTGGCAGCAAGCTTGACAGAAATTTGTGGCTCATAAGCAAGGGAAAGAAAGAGAAAAATTAGTGGCCAAGATTAGGCCAAGTGTTGGGCAATTTGTGGACACCATTAGTTCTAATCCTTTTGGCTTTAATATAAGACAACTTAGCTTCATACCTCTTCATATTTCTGCCAAGGGAGCTGAGAGAGAGAGAGGAGAAGAACAAGAGTGAACTTTCTTCATTTCTTCTTGATTCAAGCTACAAAGTGAGAAATCAAAAGAACTAAACCGATTAAACTTCTCCTTGAGTGATTAGCTAGTGTTTGGTGGTGAAATTTTGGAAAGAGAAGGCTTGGGCTACACTTGGAGAACTCATATTAAGGTAAGGAAGATGATATCTCTCTAAATTTTTCTTTCAATCTTGGTTAAATTAAGTCTAGTAACTTGAGTAGTAGTGGAATCATGGATGCTAGCATGTTTGGAAGTTTTTCCCCTCTTTATATGATGAACTAGGGTTTGGGAATTCTGCCAACTTGTTGTATGATGCTTGTATGTTACAATTAATGTTGTATAAGATGTTTTGGTAGTGTGAGAAGTGAGAAATTGGGGAAAGTTGCACTAGAAACTACAAATTTCAGATTTCTGGAAATTCTAGCTTCCATTCTGTCCGGTTTGGTAACTGCATGTTAGAGGCCGAATTGGCCTTGGGTCAAAGAAGGAAAGTTGTAGAGAATGGTATTTTGTAGGTCTCTGTAAAATTTCAGCTCAATCGGAGCAACGTAGGTCATGGAAAGTCCGAAATACCCTTACTATTTTAAGTATTTCCCAAGCAGTCCGTGTGATCAGTTAAGTCCAGTTTATCACGTTTTTCGACTAGGATCCATTCTGATTTAGCTTTTTGCCAAAACATGAAAGTTGTAGTATTCTGAATTAGCTTTCAAATGCCTCTAAGAACACCTGATTCGGACTTGTGTACTCTGAGTTATGTCCATTACAGTGTTCTGCGTTTAAACAGCCGACGAATTGGTTTTTGGTTTAGTAATTCGAGAATTTGACCAAGTTACATTAGAAACTGGACTAAGTGACCTTCATGAACATTGTAACCCTGAGTCTTAGCTTCGAAACGGCATAGGTTACGTCTTAATCTGATAAGCGTAGCCTCGGATACGTTATTTCCGCTTTCATACGTCAAATCTGTCTTTTGCTAAATTGAATTTCTGCACTTATTATTACTGTATTTGTTATTCTTATGATATTGTCAGCCTATGGAATGGCTCTTGACTTGAATTGCTTATGTGTGATGTTGGGTTGTGGTTGAGGAAAAATAATGAAGCCAAAATGGCTGGAAAATTAGGTAAACACAAAGGGCGTGCTGCCCAAATTTTCGCTCGAGGTCTAGGTTTCTATTTGAACTTGTATACTTTTGTTAGGCCAATACCATGACCGGTTTTCCATTTTAAAACATGATTTTTCATCCTTGGGTTCAAACAACCCTCTTCTTACTTGAAAGTCATCTTTACACGTTTTACTCTTAATTAGTCGGGTATCTTCGTTTCCCTTAAATGTTTTGCTCGATAAACTGTAATATGTTCTCTTGTTCAACCTTAGGTTTCATTGGTGACTAAGGGTAATATCCTGAAGGATTTTGCATGTTATTTTGCATATCTAGGTGAGTGTTCCTTATTTGACTTTATGGCTTGTTGTTATCATTTGCTAATGTGTTAATTGCTTTTAATGATTTCCAAAATTAGCTTTCTAGGCGAGTGTGTACTTTATCGTACTCGACCTAAATAACTGTGCAATTTTCAAGGATTTAATGATTGAAATGTTACTTGCGCATGAATGTAAGCCTTTTGGGCTGAACTAGCCATTGCCCCTTGTTACCGGTCGTCTCGAGCCAGAAACGGACTCGGTCGGGCGATTAGGGACTTGGGTGAACGTTTGGTATACTTGAGTATTACCGTGTAGGTTGGTGGAGACTGGCCAACGGCCAGGACGGGGGTGAATGAATGAATGAACGAACGAACGAACGAGGGTTTATTGATAAACGAAAAATACATTTTCTAATGATTGGAGGAATAAGGGGAAATGTCAGGAGAACGAATGAATGAAATAACGAATTGCTCCTTGTGAGCCGTATCCTTTTAATGAATGTGTTACTATCGCTTTCCATTGTAAATGTTTCTTGAATTATTGATACTCCATGTTTAATGTATTGGATTGATTATCTGATTATGTGTTCGGAACCTCACTGGGCTTTTAGTTCATTCCTTTAGTTTTGTTTTCCTTACAGGGGAAGGCGAGCGAGGACGTGAGCTTGAGATAGACTAGCCAATCTAGTTTTGTTTCTTTTGTTTCTTTTGTAGCGGTTCTCGCCTAGTGCTTGGCACGGGCTGGACGTATGAAGGATTGAGAACCCTTGTATATTTGATGTTTATATTCTCTTTTGGGTTGGCAATGTATATAAGTTCCGCTTTAAGTTTGGATCAATGCCCTATTTATTCTAGTGATTTATTTCAATTTTTAATTGAGAACTGTAGCGAACGACTGAGTCCCGGCGAGAGCTGGGCAGGCGGCCCGCCGAACCCTCTGGTATGCCTTAGGGGGAGGTGGGGTCGTTACACATTATCCCTAATAATTGTGTCTAATAAATCATTTGTAGTAAACCTTTACAGTGAATGGAATTTAGCCAATCGAGAAGTCTAGAAGTTTAATCAGTTACATCAAATCAATGTTCTCCAACCTTTAATTTGCAACTCACCAAAAAGACCAGTACAACAAACTCACATTCCTAAAATACCCCTCTCTCATTAAGTTCTTTCACTAATTACCTACTAAACCACATTCTCCCCAATTTAATTAGAAACTAAGGACGCTTAAATAATTACAACCACACAAAAGCTATTATCACTTATACCCGCAACTAAAAAGACAACCAAAATAATCATACATTTCCAAAATACCCATAAAAAGACACAACCCCATTTCTGGAAATGTATGACAAAAGAATTCACCATAAGTTGTATTTTGTGTTGTACCTACCATATAAACTTTAAATGTACAAATATGAGGATATCTCTGTAAACATACCCAAAGACATGCTGCTATGAGTTGTACCAAAAACTTTAAAAAAGCTACATATTATTTCATATTTCCAAAATGCCCCTACCCATACGGTTGAAATTCAAAACCCTCTTTGACTAAAACTCATTCTTATATAGTATAAGGAATTGGTAGCTAAGAAATATTCCGGTAATTATACCAGCACACAAGCATACATGGATTGTACAAAATGCAAAAACGGTTGCACACTCATAACACATTCCATCAATACCTAAGTGGCTCATCAATGACAACTTTAAATGTATTAAAATGATAAATTATTAGTAGTTAAGGGATATTCCAGTAATTACACCAACGCACAAGCATATGTAGGTTGTACAACATGTAAAAACGGTTGCACACTCATAACACATTCCATCAATACCCAAATGGATCATCAATGAGAACTTTAAATGTATTAAAATAGGGTCATTTCAGTAAACATATCCAAATACAAGCTTCGTTAAGTTGTACATAAAGCTTTTAAGCTAATGCATAATATTAAGGATTCCCAAAATAACCCCACCCTTACGGTTGAAATCTTTGCCCTAAACTCATTCTTATATAGTATAAGGATATTGATACAAATATTGAGGCAAATAATAAGAGAAGCAATGACAAAATGTTTCTTTCTTTGTAAAACTCACACAACTTATAACATGAAATTACTCTATTTATAGAGTTTAAACCAACTCCACTAACTATTCCACTAACTGCACTCACTCCACTAGCAACTCCACTAACTCCACTAAGTACTCCACTAATCTCACTAGTTATTTCACTAACTCTACTAATTAGGTAGCATAAACAAATATGATTAATTAACAACGGTAAATATTTCTAACATATATATCCAGTAAATGCAAGTTTTAAAAAAATGTATTCAGTGAAACATAATTTTTAGACAATAAACGTCTACAAAAAAAATAATAAAAAATGCATTCTGCGAATACAACTTTTTCAATAAACATTGCATTTAAAGAAAATTTCTTTGGGAAGACCTTTGAGAATTTGTTTTAAAAACTCGCGCTCTTTGAGAATCTATTGTTCCAAACCTCATAATAGACAGATCAGCCTATTTAAATCTCACAAAAACGAAGTCGTGATGAAATGAAGCAGGCCAATTACTTTTCCCAGACATTTGGACCTTTACATTGGTGGGTTGGGCCACGAACCCGTAGAGATAAATACAGTACAGCTAACCATTCGGCCCATGTTAAGAGAATGCGAAGGCGTTCATCCTCACTCCTCAGTTGTAAAACCGGCGGCAACGGAGTGTCGTTTTCGTTTGTAGCTGGAATAACATTCCCAAGAACTTTAATCCCCATGAGTGCTGGTAAGCTCTCTCTCTCTATGCTTTTCCATCATAGTATTTGCCATTTTCATTGGAGATGACGGTGTCGACTATGTGGCCAATTGGGATCACCTAGATTGTACCAATTATTATGAATATTTGGCTTTGACTATGATGAAGCAGTACCTGAATATTTGCGCCACATAAATTTGTTTTATTAGCTGTTCTACGTATTTGAAGCTTGAAATACAGCATTTTTGTTTACGTGTTACACTTGAATTTTATTTGCTTATATGCTGTATTGAGCTACTTTGATTAAATTCTGACTTCGTCTTTTTCTTTTTGTTTGAAGTTGATCTTATTCTTAGTTGGGTTCGAGATAAAGTTTTGTTTTGAAGCAACCCCTGTCGAAAATTTTGCTATTTAGCTGCTTTTTTCCATGAAGATTGGTCTGGAGGGTGAAAAAGATTAGTTTTTTTTTTAATCAGAACTTTCGCTTTTGTGATTGCTCTCTTGAAAGAAATTTGAATTTGGAACAGATGTGGTCATAGTGGAAGAGTCGGTTAATATTTCAGGACACTCTATTTTGTCTTCTTGATTGACATTAGTTACTCCCATAAAGGGGTAGATGCTGGATTTCTTTACATGGTGTAGAAATATTCCCGTCTCATACCATATCAATCTCCAGGTTAAGGCTTAAACGTGCAACTTACAGCTTAAATGTGCCTTTCTTTGCATTTTGCTTTGCAGGTGGTGCATTTGGTGGAAATAGAGGAGTAAGGCCTGTACCACCTGAAAAAGGAGTTTTCCCTTTAGACCACATGCATTTATGTGATCAGGTATGGCCATTTAACTATGTCTTTTGGTTATCATTTGTGTATTTCAGGTTGCTAATCGTTTAAATATTGTAAAAGTTAGTTATGTAAATCCTTAGCCCTCTGAATTGTTTCAGGAGAAGAAAGAATATATCAGTTGCCTTAAATCTTCTGGGCATAAATCTGAAAAATGCCGTCACCTCTCAAAGATGTATTTGCAATGTCGTATGGAAAAGTAAGTAATCTGCTTCTTTGACAATATGGACCTCTTAATCTGTTTCTAAATTCCCGTATGAGGTATTTGATTTTTTTTTTTTTGGGTTTGAAAAATTTCTTTTTTTTGGGTTTGAAAAAATCGTTCAGCAATCTGTTTTAGTTTTTGGGCTCAATGTTGCACTATCTGCTACAGTTAACTTCATTAGTCCCATGTTGACATAGATATTTCTGCCCAAACCTTTGGACTGACTGGAGTCACTCTGAAAGAAAGTTTTTTGCCTTTTTTTTTTGTAAATAGTTTTTTTTTTGGCCATTATTACTACACCTGAACTACTAATTTTCTTTAGTCAATTGAACCTACGAGGCTTTCTCAGCTTCTTGTGTTCTGCAGACCATTTCTACCTTCAACACTAGCCATTTCAATTGCGAATATCCGTTTGTGATGGCTGATTCATAATGTGAAAGTCTGAACACTTTCCTGGATATAATTTGCCTCTCTATCCATTTGAATGACAATACACACTCAAACCAGTAGTGAAGATCGCTTGTTATGCGTTTCATTGTTTAGAAGTACCTATTTCATGATTTTTGTACCATTCAACCCTAATTTTTTCCTCCTAATTCAACAGACAAGAAGCTAATCTTGTGTAGTCATCCAGGGAATCATTCAAATCAAATCCTGTGCATTTCAAGAAGTGTATCAATTTCTTATGCATCAAATACACAGTGATACTGTTCCTGGATAATTTCCTGTCAAAGAAGATCACTTTTTTATAGATAGAAATGATTCCAGCTCAGCTGCCCTTGTGCTTCCCACAGCTACTCTTGAGTTTGTCTGGGTTGTTTTGAATCTTTATTGGACCTCTGCTCAAAAGATTATCCCCTCCTGTCTCTAGTTCCAAGTTTTCATTGTCAATCTAGAAGCAGAAAAAGACTAGATATGAGCCAATAAACTCTTGCCCATGTTTGGAAGAATTTATTGTACTGCCCTGTCAATTAGTGCATCATTTTCGTTTAATGACTATTATCTCAGGTAGACATATGACTCCTGCCCTCCATTTGCATTGCTATTGCTAGATGTTGTGATCTTGGAGAAAAGGCATAAAACTACTTTATTTTCCTATTCCTGCAGCCTGGCTCGGGACTTGAGTCATTGATACTGCTATGAAATTGGTCTTTGAGGGAACTGGATGGCTTGAGGTATTTCATATAGCCAACCGTATCAATGTGAAAATCTTGAAACAGATTAAAAAGAATTACGACCAACACCAGCTTATTCAATTTGTAAGCCTAGTTAAAGAGATGTCGTAAGACAACTAAATCTGGAGGATACAATAGCTTAATGTCCCTGCTACATGCCAATCAAGAGGACAAGCAAAGTAGAAGAGAGGAAAGAAATGGAAATTTTTTGTGTTGCACGCTTCCTTTCTACATGATTTGTTTTTCTGAATAAATTCAGCTCTATATGAACCCAGGGAACTGTTGGCTTTACAAGTAATTCTTGTGTGGGATATGGCATGCAGGAACTTGATGGCGAAGCAAGACATGTCAGAACTTGGATTCAGAAAGGAGAGCGATGTGGAAGCCTTACGAGATGGAAGTAGAAATGGTAGCTTAGATGACTGAGGAACTTCATTGCTGGGCTCTAACGGGACAATTGCTCACCGAAGATAGAATTTCCTGACTTTTTTGTATCATTACAGCACTGCTTTGCTGTATTATTACAGTACTGCTTTGCTGTAAAATTGTGCATATCGTGCCCATAAGGTTTCTGGTCCTTTGACATGTTAGTAATTTGTTGGAAGATTTAAGGTGAAACTGTTGAGTTTTTTAATCTTTTCATGTTTTGTTGCATTTACTATTTCGTTTTGCTCACCTTTTAAGTAATGCTAGAGATACAAGAAGTTGATCAGTTGATGATAGGTGCATCTATGCCATATATCTATCATTTTCTGATGTGGAAACCATGATGCTACAGCTTTACAAAACTATAAAATACCCGAGAAACCCGAACTCTCCTACCGCCTCCCTCCCCCAACCACCCCCCGCCCTCTCTTCTCGGCTTCCCGAAACACATATAAGCAGGATAAAAACTCACGTATTGCACAACTTCTTTTGGCCATTCTAGAGTAGTCGCTAACCAGAAAAGACGGGGTTGAAGGAGAAAAGGAGGTGGGGAAGATACAATGATGAGATAAGAATTCAAGATTAGCCTAACAGCCATCAGGGACCAGAATAAGAAGTAAGCTACGAGGCTTTTTATAATGATGGAATCAACCCCAAATGTTTGGCGTACAATAATTAATAATAGCAGTGATGTGTGATTCTGAAGGATCCGCACAAATCAACTTGGTGCAACTCAATTTAAGGACCTTATTGGATAAATCTTGGCGCTTGATTGCAGCAGCTCACTAAAACGCAAATATCGTCGAACAAGAAATCGACCGTATTGGATAAATCTCGTCGCTTGACAGCAACAGCTCACTAGAAGGCAAATGTCGTAGAACAAGAAATCGATCAGACATTGTTTGGGTGCTGGTGGGGGAGTTAAATTCAAGAACTTCTACATACTTGTTCAGAGAAGTAGATAGTAATATTTTTGTTTAAATTCAAGAACTTCCACATGCTTCCACAGAAAAAATACAAAGTATTGTTATTGTTTAGTTAAATTCACTCATATTCTCTCTCTCTGTACCTCGATGGCTTCGCTTGAGCATAGTTGTTTATATACCAATCTTGGGTTGGTTCCATTTTCTTCGTTTTTTCGTCTCCAGCTCCATGGCTTCCCCTCTACCCCTGCGACCTGCCCTATTTCACAAGGACCACAGCCTGTAAGCTCTCTTTTTAAACTACATTCTAATCAGCGAGTTTACTTCGTCATTTCACTGTTAAAAACAACATAATAAGAACTTTTTGGCATCTAAAAGGTGAAATGTTCTGCTTATTCCTACTTTAGTCAGCTGGAGTTCTTGCAGTCAATGTGCTCGCTTTAGCTTAGTTCAGATGATTTCTGATCATCAGCTCATGCCAAAAGACAACGTTTCCATGATGCAGTCAAAGTTATTTCTATTTGTTGAAAGGATCTGATAGAGCATTCTAATTCCATGGCGATGTATTGTTCGCCATTTAAGTTTGGATCTGAACCTAATTGACAATTGTTCATAGAAAAATCATGAGCTTTCATAGCATGGTGAGCACTCGTAGTTTTGTAGATAACTGAAAGTTGAGATAAGGAGCAGTTTTAATATGCTATTTAGGATGCCATTAAGCTGGTATCCAATTGCTGTTAAGGATTTAATTAGAGTCACCAGATTGAGAGACAAGGCACAGGACTAATCCATAAATTTAAGTTGTCTCCATCTCAAACTCCAGGATACTTCACTCTGATTCTTATTTTTGTATTGCAGAATATCTGCAATACCTAAGTCCAGAGCACCATGTCAATCAAAGGTAGTTAACACGAAAGACCAAGAGAATCATGGTCCAGCAAGAACTTCCATTTCTCATGGGTTCCAGTTTCCATGTTGTAGATCAACAATCCAAACAGCTTCACAAAAACTGATACCTCCAGGAGTTTTATCATCCATGGGATCAGCCCCTGAATCTGATCACCTGATCACAGACGATGAACCTTTTGTAGATAGGGCTAATAATCATGAAATGGAATTCACTCGGGTGAATTGTCTTGTATGGGTATTGCATGAATCTGCCAGAGGTTTTTCGCTTGCTATACAGGCGCTTGAGTTGGCAAGGACTGGGCCAGAGCTTGCAATGGCATGGAGAGGAGTTGATGTGCATGCCTGGCATAAAAACATGGCATATCAGGTATGTCAAAATGGAACAGGAATATGCCCAAATAGAGAAAGGGTAATAAATATTTCGGAAGAAAGAAAATATTTGAAACATTAGAGTTGGGTGATACATATAAGATCTAGCGATCTACTTTGTTTAAATTACCATTTGACTAATAATCATAATCGCCTCCATTTACTGTGTTGGAGATGTACCAGAATCATTGATATTTGGAAGTCAAATATCATCTGATGAGGACTCGAAAAACAACTACTTCGTTAATATGGTTGTACAGGTAGCAGTGTTTGCTTTGTTGAAAGCAGCAATTGAAGTAGACTTATTTCTTTGTCACAAATGCAGCAACAACCTGTCTCCTGTCCATGAAATGTAAGTTGCAGAGACTAAGTTGAAATAACATGTTTAATGTGGTTGAATTTGAATGTTTAAATCATGAAATTCAATGTTTCTTCATAAAACCTTGCAAGCTTCCAATTAAACATGATGAGAAATGATTTCTAGTGTAAAGACGACACTATCAAGCTGCTGATTATTACCTTGACTCTTTTGATGATTGGGATCTCAAACTTACGTGTCTGGCATGAGGTTTGCCATTATGATCCCTAAATCTGATTAAATGTTTAGTAATTGACAAAAGAGGTTTACATTTAGATGTTAGTATAATTTTGCTTTTGGCTCAGCTTGTCCGTGAAGGCAAACTTACTTGGTGAGCACATAGAAAGAGAATTGAACACGAGGAATCCAAGATTACTGCACTGGTTTAGAACAGTGGAGCTGCCACGCATAGCTGGGCTGTTCATTCCGTTATTTCAGAAGTGGTCTATGGAATATGCTGGAAGGTTTGTAACTTTATCCTCTTAGCTTCAGAATTTTATGCCTTTGTACTGAAACTCCAACCATCAGTTCCTCCCAAGTCAGTTTCCTGCATACATGCAAACACCTTGTACTTGACAGTCTGTGAAAATCTAAATCATATAGTTGGCACTTGGCACAGTGGTGTTGCAGGAATCATTCTCGCTATAAGTTGTTGTGCTGCAATAAGGAAACTGGATCCTGGACGAATTTGCCGTCCTTTATTTTGTATTTCAATTGAAGATGCATTAGTGAAACTCATGAACCTGTCACACAGTCTCGTTTCATTAGATAAATTGCATCATTTGGCAAGTGAAGCCGGATTTGAAGAGGATTTCCTCTTGCACTTTGGTAGAAAGGTTTTGCCTTGTAAGAACACAGAAGATATAGAGTTCTGGATTGGATTGGTACAGAAGAAACTCTCTGCAGCATTCTACAGAGAAAGTGTATCTACGCACAGGCATATGTTCCACAACAAGGTTAGCCTCTATTTTGTATTGATTTCTCTTTTAACCTGGAGGTATAAATGCTTGAACAATCCTATGTTATCCTAAGAATCCATTTGGATGGCTCGTGGAGCTTGCTTTGGGTTCTTATGCAATGTATTAAATCATGTTCTCCACATGTTCTGCTTATGGTTATGCTTACCTATGGCTTTTCAACACTCACATACTCTAATGAACCTCATTGTTAAATGGATCTCTCATTTTTCCTTGGGATTGTAGTTTCTCACTCAATAGATTCCATGTTTTTTCTGCAGATGAAAAAATTCCATTTCCTATTTCCCCCTGATCAATAGTATAGTTCTCAATTTTAGATCTTATCAGGTTCAAGAGAGCAGTTTGGCTACTTTTGGCCTTTTTGCTTATCTAGGAAGAGAGACAAGACTATATCTTTCGGGAATGGGAATTAAGGATCTTGACAAGCAAACTAAAGATTTCTTGAGGTTGATTCCTATACATTTGGGTTAACCTAAATCTCACAATTTTGACCCCTTCGTACATTGTTTAAGTAATGAAGCTTCTATACACTTCCATGCAGTTATTTAGAGTGTGGTAGCCTTGTTATATATCCTGAACTTTCAACCTTATCAGAGTATCAGCTCTTCATGGAGGTGAGTTATCTTTATATTGAAACAGTGGAAACATATTGTATACAGTTTGGGGTGGCATAAAAGTTTCCAGTGCTGCTGCATTTGTGGCTATAGGTAGTAACTGATGAAATTGGATGGCTGCATTTTTATCCTGCGGTTGGCTTTGAATGGTGTCAAGATAGGAGGAGGTCCAGACAGCGCATGATACAAGCAGAGAAAGAGATTGTTCTCTACAAGGTTCTTACTGCATGCTATGATGTTATCTCAGAGTTTGCTCATTACAGCCACTCAAGAAAGCAGCCAATGGACTCAAATTTGTTAGAATTCTTACTTCATTGGTAATAAACTTTTACTGCCATTGCTTATTTGCATTCTGCCTTCTGCCTTACTGGGTTTGCTTGAATTTTGAGTTAGTTTTTGGTCATATTGTTTAGTCAGAGCCTGCTAGCGACTTGTATGGAGGATTACTGGGCTGCTTATGATGAGATAGGGTATGAAGCTTTGCTGAGCGGCCTATACATTTTGATTATTTATCTTCACCATTAACACTGATTTTTAGAGAAACCATATAATCTGTTAATTGTCTGGAGCAGTGAACCACAACATCTTGTGGAAAGAAGTGTATCAGAGCCAAAATATCTTATGGCAGAGCACTCGTCAAAGGATTGGATAAAAAGAGGAAAGGATCAATACGGACCTACCGTAAATAATGTAAAGTACCTTGGTACTCATTTAGATTTTATCCAATTTCACTTGTTCCAGATGGATAACAACAGAGACTTTAATACCAACTTTCACACATCTATTTTTATTCGCAACTACCATGAATGTTGGTTTGTGAATATCAGGAGGCTATTGGCTCAGCTGTGGAGAATGAGATAACCGTAGGGAAGTCGGGCTCTGCTTCTCCAATAAAGCCTTCAGATGAGAACTTTCTGCAAAAATCCTCCAGGAAAGTGATATCTGCAAGTGCTGTAAGTATAGTAATCTTGTGATATTGTGTCATTGATTGGGTAGAAACCTAGAATATGTTACTTCTGGATAGCTAATTTCGCAAATAATACCATTCAGAATGTGTGGATGGGTACTCAGTTACTCTTTATAGATATAATTGATGTTGTGGGGCTTCTGAAGAAGCAACTTCGTGGCTGCAAAATGACGGAAAGGGAGAAGAAGAAAATAAAGAAAACACTGGTCGACTTTGCTACACTGGTTCCAGTAATAATATTAATGCTGCTCCCTGTAAGTCTCGACACACCGAAATTTTATACTCAAATTCACCTATTCATTTCTTCAGAGTTTTCAATTATTTCCTTGTACGATTTCTCTGTTGTTTGATAGTCACGCCCTGCTAGCATCACTCTCATTCGTGTACTAATGAATCTAATGAAAGTCAAGATGATATAAAACAAGCCAAAGTCAGGAAGCTGAAAATTAGGATGACACTGTTCTGCATAGAAACATGATAATCAATCAAACTTTCAAGAAACACCTGCTTAACATGTCGTTTGTACTTGAATTGTGGTTGTGCCCCATGAAATCATTTCTTGACAGAGGACCCCCAAAAGATTTTCAACAAAAAATAGAGCGCTGTGCTGCCATCATTGGCAAACACTGGCCCAACTAGAGCTAGTCCATTGAGTCTACTGGTTTGGCTGCTCAGAGGCTGGTAAATTAACCAATATTTAAAAAAAAAAAAAAAAATCAGATGTGCAACATCCAAATGGCAAGCTTAATTATTCTTAAAAGAAGGAGCCAGCAAGTCCGGATCATGTTGTAATCCTGCGGTTGAAGTGAGAGCTTAAGAAACCTTTTCTTCTTCCACTAACAGGTTTCAGCTGTCGGGCATGCAGCAATGTTGGCAGCAATCAAAAAGTATATGCCATGTTTGGTATGTCATCTAATCCGTTCGATAATAGAACCGTACTCTATGGGTGTATATGTTTATCAGCCAGCGCATGCATTTGTTCGTTTTCATCATCGTACTTACTGTAGATTGTCGCTATCATTTGTCAGATTCCTTCGCCTTATACTTCTGAACGTCTTGGTTTGGTGAAACAAATAAAGAGAATAAAGAAGATGGAATTGCAACGAAGGAGCAGCATCCAAGATGCTTCCACTAGACTGGTTGTTTGACTAATGTTCTCATGAGATGAGACCTGGCTTTTCAATTTGCTCTGGAAGAAAAGTGCAGTGCAGTGCGGTTTTCCGGTCGGTAAATCAGTTTTATTGCGGCTGCAAATATGGTGGTGGACAAGCAGTGTAACCCGCATCACCGAACAGACTGCAGTTTGCTCGCTTAGTCTTTTTATTCTCGGCTTCTGTGTTTGCGCTTTTAAAAGAAAATACTCCATTGAGAATCCACTAACAGTGATTTGCCTAATTGTACTCGTCGAATTCCAACTTTTCTACTTTCTAGGTTTCATGTAAATAAGCTATTTCATCGCATTTCAGCATGTAGCTTCCTTCTACACATCCCAAGTACTAAGAGGGAATATATGCAACTTTCAAATATTTTTTCTTTGCATTGTGAAATAGGGTTAAAAAAACTTGGAGGTCACTAATTTGTGTGGACTGTGGACTAATGGACATTCCCTCCGTTTTAAGAGTTTTTATGGTTCCTTTGAGAGGGTCTCCGTATCTTACTTTCCCGTTGGACCATTTACTTTTAGAGTGGTTATGGGTTTCTTTCCTGTTCATATATCAAATAGGGACTCACTTGAAAAAATTTGTTAACCTCCTAGGCACCTTACAGTAAATTTTCTGAACATATTTAGTGTTTTTTGGTAATCATTGGACTTCAAGTAAAACCACGGAATCCCTAATTGATTGGCAGACGGTGGTTAGACTAAAATAACTTTCATTTGACAGGAGACTGTAAGAACCTAATTCTCTTCCCACCAACTTCCACCTGCTGATGTCTAATTTCCCTCTATGTAACTTCCCTTTAAGTGTCCACTCGTGGAAAAGGAAAACCACCCACCCATGCAGCATTCAAAAGGCTTTATGTTATCTTGCTTGAACTATATAAATACCAACTGTATGAAATGTAACCATCCTTGTACTACTATTATGGTTATGGCCCAAAAAAATATGGTGTGTCAAAGAATAAACATATACATATGAAAGGCAGAAAGAATATCTTTATGCAACAGCGGCTATATCATTCATGTCGTCAGATTCATCTACAGCCATCTCATCTCTAAACAGGAGTTTAATGTAGGGAAGAATTCTTGGAAGTAAAGGTAAATCAGCCAAGTTGACACTCATCATGTCGAAAGCAATGCAGGTATTATGGAGGTGACTTTCATCAAAAACTGGAATCTTAGGGTATCTTTGGCTAAAGTGTGTAAGGATAACACGATATGCTCCTGCAGAAGCCCCAACTTCAACAGCTTCTTTTGTTGTGCTGTGATTTCTTGCTATAGCCTCCTCGATCAGTCCATCTTCAAATGTAGCCTACAATTATGAACAAGAAACTGTTAACATCTGTTCAAGTCCCACCTCAAGGCATAAGATAGTTGCTTGGAGAGAATAAGTTAGGGTAACAAAGCATCTATGAAATGCCTATACATACCTCATGTACAAGAATAGTTGCACTCTTCGAAGCTTTCACCAGTTCTGGACAAGGTCTAGTGTCACCAGAATACACGATCTTCCAGCCTGGTATTGTTTTTCCAGCGCCATTGGTTCTATCTGCAGCCTTCAGCACAACACCATATGCCTGTGGACAGTGGATTACAGGAAAACTTATTAATGCCTGTAATCCCGCTTCCCTGAGCACCTTCATTAATTTCTTTAAAAGTGGATAGACCATAGCATTTTCGGCTGGACTGCCAGGCCTCTTAAAATAACTCTGCATACGGCTTCCTTTTGCAAATAGTGTGGAGTCGATTTTTTGATCCTCTGACCTGATTCTATCGGCATCTTTTATGTCCTGACAATTTATTGCAGCTTTTGAAGCTAGATCAACTTCATTTGAATCAAGAGCTGCTAACGAAGATTCTGAGGTATGCTTACAGTCGAGGAATTGCATATCTAGATCCTCGAGTCTGTGGTAAGCATCTAGAAATCTCTTCAGCCGCCAAGGACCAACAACCATCAAAGGCTCATGAGGTACTCCCTTTAACAAGTCCCGTCTACGAGCAAGTATTCTTGCAAGTCCTGTATGGTGATCTCCATGAATATGAGAAATCCAGATACACCTTAAATCTCTTATGATCTCATCCGCTCTGTCAACACCAAACCTGTTTTGCAAACAGCATACTAAAGTATTACCTCCCAGATGTTAAGAAGGCAAGAAATCGAAAGGCAAAACACAGAATGAAAACTAATAAGAGTAGTTTACCTTCTTTTTAGTTGGCCAAGGGTTCCTTCACCACAGTCAAAAAGTATACTTCCTTTAGAGAAAAGATTAAGAAGAATAGAACTGACATTCCTATACTTTGAAGGCTGAGAAGACCCAGTCCCAAGGAGAACAATTTCTAAATCTTCCCTTGTTACGCCTTCCAAGCAAGCTGGAAGTTCATTATTGTGCAACCATGGCTCTTCAGTAGGAAGTTCCTTAGCTTGCTCAGACATCCTCTCATTTTTCCCATTCTGAAGCCAAAGCTGGCTAACTTGTTTTGATGCCTCTGTAATTTCTGGAATCCTTGATACCAGCTCATCAACAATTTCTGATTGTGATGCTGAATCAGGAATCCCAGATCTGTCCAAGCCAAGCTGAGTGATTGGACGCAAATAGAACTGTTCCAAAATTAACACAGTCACCTCCTGCCAAACTTATGGAAACAAATACAAACTACTAAAAAAAAAAATTTTGTTTTGCCAGTACACGATGATGTGTCTATAGATGGAACATGCAATGCATCAATATAAATAAAAAATTTAATGCAACACCTGTATCCATTTTGCAATAGTTGGAGATGCCATTAACAAACAATCGCTTAATATAGGCACCATAAATTATACTATTTCTTCTTATCAGAACCCAAAGAAGAGAGTCAATTCAACTCCACAAGACGTGTACAACCATAAACTAGTACTCCTTTAAAGGACAGGGAAAGGGATGAGCATGAAATATATGCAAAATGAATTTCTGGGTCCATTTTAATCTGGAGAAGCAAATGTATTACATTCAATAAAATAGGACTGATAGAATGCATCCTATAAGTTGTTACTTATCAGAACCCATGTTTTAGCATTCTCTTCCCTTTTTCTTCCTAGAGCTAATGAGAAAGATTATTTAACACACCAGACACAGATGGCAGGAGCTTTCCAAAGAGATAGCTTAGTAGCCACATTATTAGCACCTTGGAAGAACTATAAATAAAGGAGCAGGGTTCCTAATGAAAAAGAGACCAGTCATATGTAGCATAGTCCCGGGAGAGCCACTTGAAATCTACAAACATACACACACAATGTATGTAACATGTCTTGGTTTTAACATCATAATTCAATAACTAAAAGAAGCAAAGGAGGAAATGTCAATATTCATTCTTGCAGACCATACCTTGAGGAGATTCTGTGCTGGTATGCTTTCACAAAGATCTGAGAAAGGACCCTGTCAGCAAGGAAAAAAAAATTGGCTTAATTACCCATAAATCTTACCAAATTTGATATCCTTATCAATCTCTGCGATACATAATGCTACAACCAACCTCACTTGAAGCCCTCAAGTCTGATGCTATATCTTTCAAGTGCTGGAGAGACCAGATGCCAGGAGCAGGAAAGAACTGAGGGCAAAGGTAGTTAAGCTGTGCTGCAATTCTTGCGCTTGATTTTATAATTGGAACCTCAATATTCCTCCTGTGACCAAAAGGTAACGCATCAACTCTCCAATTATCAGTGTAAAAATATGATAGGCATGTATGTGCGTATTGCATGCACAGACAGATAGATTGGCACTTGGCAGACTTGTTAAAACAACAACCAGAACTCACATTTCATGTCCTGCCATGATATGCTGGGCTTCAGGAAATCTTGACATCCACTTCTGATACTCGATTGTGTTTGTGACATGAGAAGGACTAAGGTGAATGACGCAATTTACTGTTCTGGAACTAGAGTTACCAGATATTCCAGCATAATAGGACGAAAGAGATTGTACAGATGACACGTCTTTAAAATGAGACAAAGTTGGGCAGTCCACGAGGAGTACAATTGGACCAGGAATAGAAGGACCCAGGACGTCACTAGGGTGAACCTGAATTGTGCATATTAAATTGCTTATAAATATGACAGTCAGGAAGCAAACCAAATGCTTATATAAAGTGTACTATTAAAGTTACCATAATATCTTGACGATCTGACTTCACTGAGTTACCAAGCTGAAGTTCACGATACTTTGGACCAGGTCTCAATCCGAGAGCAGCAGCTTTCTTAGGGTCAAATTTCCCCTTAATTTCAGGCAATTCACAGATATAAATCACTGAAAGATCACCAGGCTTTGTGGATGGCTCAGCTCTGGGCTTTGAAATTGAAGATGATAATTGTTCCACTAAATGTTCATCTGCCTCCTGTGATCCAGGCTTTTTTGTGGAGGAACCTTCTGCTGCCTGACTTGGTCTCAAGATGATAGCTGATAGTTTCACAACTTCATCGTCTATAAGAACTACAGGATCACTGAACACATCCTTTGCAGGAGTCACAAGAGCACTGGAATCAGATGCAGGCCCAAAGCTACGTGTATGAACCATTGCAGCATTTGGAATGAAGGCTCTCATTGCATCTACTAATAATTTGAGATCCGAGGGGCCCCACACATTAACCTGAAAACAGAAAAGTGTCATTGTCATCAAAATTCCTATTTCCTAGAAAGCAATGGATGGCTATTATAGAAAATCTGACACTTACAGACATTCCTTCCTCACTTATGCCTGCCAAAGTCAACAAAAGCCCTGCAATGAAAAATAAAACTTAACAATTATAGCCATTATTCTGGTTAGGCCTTTCTGCACAAGCAAAATAAGAATAAATCCATCTACCAACTTGTCAGCAACAAACCTGGAAGGCCACCAGCAGTTTCTGAGCATACGCGTGAGAGAAAAATGTGATCAATCTACAGGGATTACAAACCATTAATAACATTGCAAACTAAAAAAGAAAGAAAGTCTCAATCATTTTAAAATCCAAATATAATCACACACCTTTGACAACTTGATTTTATGTTCTGTACAGAAGCGTTGCAATCCCTGGAACAAAATTCCCATAATAAGGCTTTGAAAGTCCTCATAGACATTGAATTAACCAGGTAACAAGTTATATTTTGCTTTTCTGTGTGTGTAAAGAAGAATTCCTTATGACCGTGTAAAGAAGAACTCCCAGTCGTGAATAACTCCTCCATTTTACACTTACATGCCAAACATGAGCATGTAAAATAAGGCCAAAGGCCGTTGACCATTACCAGAACCAAATAAATAGGCCTAAGGAGAATAAATCCATCACCAGTAAATCAATCTCTTCTATTCAGAGGAGATATCTTCCTTTTCATTTTCTCCCCTCTAGAACAAGCACCTATTCTTTAGC